CGGGGGATTTAAATATCCCCCGCGGCATTTAAATAAAAATGTCCGCCGCTTTTTTCCGGCTTTTAGAAAAGCCGGAAAAGAGCGTCTACACTGGCCCCGATCCTCCGGAAAAAGCGCCCTTTTCCGGAGGATCTTATTCCATCTTATTCCTACTTCAAAGTAGGAATAAGATCCTCCGGAAAAGGGCGCTTTTTCCGGAGGATCGGGGCCAGTGTAGACGCTCTTTTCCGGCTTTTCTAAAAGCCGGAAAAAAGCGGCGGACATTTTTATTTAAATGCCGCGGGGGATATTTAAATCCCCCGCGGATTTCCTTATTGCGATCTCTGAAATTAACATGCCCCTTCCGGAAAAGGGGCCAGTGTAGACGTAGCCATGGTGTAAAAAGCAACTGCTATCTAGCTCCAGACATTACTGTAGTCCCATTGTCAGTGCCACTTCCTAACACCTGACTTCCTCAATGCATTGTCTCCCAAGACCAGCTTTGTACAGGGGAGAAGGGAAATATTGGGTGTGGGCTATTTTTCTGTGAGGCAGAGGCAGCTCATGGTGGAGGGAAGGGCCCTAGGAGGAGTAGACAGCCCCAAAAAACACCATTGCATGGTTAACCCCCAGACAGTGTGTCTTGTCCATTAACTGACTTCAGGAGCTACTTCCTCAATGCATTGTCTCCCAAGACCAGCTTTGTACAGGGGAGAAGGGAAATATTGGGTGTGGGCTATTTTTCTGTGAGGCAGAGGCAGCTCATGGTGGAGGGAAGGGCCCTAGGAGGAGTAGACAGCCCCAAAAAACACCATTGCATGGTTAACCCCCAGACAGTGTGTCTTGTCCATTAACTGACTTCAGGAGCTCTCGATCTTTCTTTGTGACCAGCTTTGTCTCTGCTTGGCCATGTGGCTACGTGGGCTGGATCACCCAAATGGAGCAGACTGTAAACGTGGCTGTAGCTGAACTGGCTGGTGGTGGCTGTGCAGCATGGCCTTGCAGGCCAGTGCAGGCACATGGAGCCCAGAATGCTGGGGACCTTATCCCTGCCCTGGATTTTAATCAGTAGGGGTGATGGGTCTGTTCCCACCATTTTGATCCACTTGCTGAATCAATTTGTGCAATCACTGAATCTCTGTTTATATTACAGTAACACCTAGTGTTCCTGAAGGCAGTAGGGGTCTCCATACACACGGTAAGAGACAGTAACTAGTGGTGTCCCCCAGGGGTCTGTACTGGGACCAGTCCTGTTCAACTTATTCATACATGATCTGGAGAAAGGGGTAAACAGGGAGGTGGCAAAAATTGCAGACGATACAAAACAGCTCAAGATGGTTGTCCCAGGGAGACTGCAAAGAGCTACAAAAGGGTCTTTCAGAACTGGGCGTTTGGGAAACAAAATGACAGACAAAATTCAGTGTTGATAAATGCAAACTAATGCACATTGAAAACCTCATCCCAAATATACATATGAAAGGGGGGAGGGGTCTAAATTAGCTGTTACCACTCGAGAGAGAGTTCTTGGAGTCCTTGTGGATAGTTCCCTGAAAACATTCCCTCTGCACAGTAGCAGCCAAAAAAGTACACAGAACGTTGGGAATCCTGAAAGGCATAGGTAATGAAGACCAAAAATCTCCTACTGCATCTATGTACATACATGGTGCACCCACATCTTGAACACAGCCACCTTGCTAGCTCTGTACCCGGTAGCACACTTGGCAGAAGGCATGACAGGCCTCAACTGTGAGCCCCTCTCCCCAACCGTCATAGACTCTGTCTTGTGCCACCTTCACAACAGAGGGCTTCCATCAGGCCTACAGCACAGAGGCAGACCTTCCAGAATGCCTGTGGCTGGACAGCTTCTGCTGTCAGGCTGAGTATCTTGAGTTAATTGGCCTTTCTGCTCCCCTTGTTTCACTCCAGCAATGTATCCCTGCCACCTCCTCTGTTCAGAGGAGCAGCACTCCATTGATGGCCCTGCCCGGCCCATCCTGAGAGCAGTGCTCATCATTCAGAGGGGGGGAGGCCTCTGAAGCAGCCAGGGTGGGTCAATAGTTTCTCGATGTGTTCAGGTGTGATCAGAAGTGCTTGTCAGTCATGTTGGTTCAAGGGACTTGCTCTGGTCTGGATGGAATTCACCAGAATGATCGAATAGGCATCCTCTGTCCCTGACATCAGTGATTCATAGGGCTTTTTCATGTCTGAGCTTCTAAGTCATTGAAAAAATGATGGATCCTCGCTCACAGGATGGTAGGTCGGCTTTAAAATCGAGTGCATGTAGCTACCAGCGATTGCTGCTTAGAAACAAAAGGGCAGGTGGAAAAGCTCAGCTGTCAGACCCCTGCCCATATATAGCCTGCTTTTGTCTCTGACTTTCTTCGCCATGTGTAATCTCGCTCCTCTGTGTGCTCTCAGCTTAATTTCTGTTTATGGGACTGGACTGACCCCCCCCCCCCCCCGTCTTCTCTGTGATCGCATGTCTAGGAGCAGTGTCTTGAATGTCTTCCTGGCTCTGATAGCAGGGAGGTCCAGCCTGCCAAAGAAGTACCATTCTACTGGTCTTTACCATATGATAACAGTCAGTGTGTGATGAACACTTGCTTGGTGAATGTCTGATGCCTGCTTTTCTCTGCTGGTGTAAAGCATCCCTTTCTAATCCCAATGGTTAGTGAGACATCTGACCTTTTGAACGCAGTCACTCCGCACTACCCCCATTGGCCTGACCATGTACTGGCTCTTGAAAGCCTGGCATTTTTACTGGTGTCACTTGCCTTCCCAGTTACTGGGCCAGGACACACATTTCACTGGCTCCTGGGCCCAAGTGGGTGGCTTTCCCCAAATCTGGGCCCACAACTTTATTTTGTGGGGTCTGTCTGGGGCATGTTCCTGGTTATCTGGTAATGGCTTTGTTTTGCTCAGCCCCTTTCTGGTTTCTGAATTAATCCCAAACCAGCAAAAGTGTCAGCTCCGTGTGTGTGTGTGGGGGGGGGGGATGTGCCCCTCAGCAGTGCCACCTGCTGGCTGGCCAGGATCATCAGGAACCGAACCTGGCTAGGAGCTGTACTCGGCCCTCTGGGCTGGACTGGTGCTCAATGCATGGAGAAGGCCAGGAGGAGACTGTGGGGGTGAGAAGGGCTGATTGTTTTGAAGGCACAGGTTGTATTCCTACTGCCTCCCATCTGCAGGTGGGTACTAGATCTCATGAGTCGGTTTCCCCACTGCTAGGACAAGAGGTTACATGTAGGAGGCAGCGCCAGACAGCAGCTGTGTATAATGTTTGTATTGCAGTAGCATCTGGAGGCCTTGGCAGAGATCAAGGCCCCATTGTTCTAGGTGTTGCACATGCTCCATACTGGTGTAAGACAAACTCCACCAGTGATGGGCAACTCGAGAGAGGGAGTGGGTCGCATGAGTGGCCCTCCTCCGCCTCCGTGCGCTGCAGCAACCTGTGGTCCACTGGGGTTCAACCTGCGGCCTCGCAGTCCCCTTGGCTGCCCCTCTTGGGCACTGGGGCATCGTAGCTGGCTGCTCATGCTCTGGGAGGGAGGGGGAAGAATGGGAACAGAGAGCACGCCAAGCAATTCGTGGCACTCCGAAAGTGCTGGGAGGGAGGGGGAAAGTGCAGGGCTTCCGTGCCCCAGTGCATGAAAGGTACATGGGGGGCATACAGAGAGTCTGCTGGCCACAGGTTGACCACAATTGGTCTATACATATGAGACACAAAGTAGTAGTGGGGATGATGATTCTTCCTACTTCACAGATGGGGGAACTGAGGCAGAGAGAGATTAAATGACTTGCCCAGGGTTGTACAAGGAAGGCTGTGGGAGAATATTGAATCCAGATCTCTTAAATCCCTCTCTAGGACACAACCCCAGGGCCTTCCTTCCTCTGTGAAGCTAGAGGGATCCACGTACTGCTGAAGATGCCTTAAACTGTTTCCCCTAATTCTTTCTTAGTGGCTAGAGCATGGCAAGGTGCCGTGTGTGAGAGACTTGGGCACTCTTTGTTCACTGTTCTGAGCTTGTATTCTGTGCCTCAGTTTCTCCATCTGCACAATGAGGCTGATTATACCCCTGCAGAACACTTTGAGCATGTTAGGTGGAGAGTGCCAAACATTGTCATTTGCCAGTGAGGCTCTTAGTTTATTTCATCTCCTCTTGCCTCTTTCCTTTTGATATCCTGTTGCCAATGTCTGGTTTTTTTTTCTCTTGCAGTTTACCTGCCAAGCTGATCAATGGAGGGATAGCTGGGCTGATTGGGGTCACTTGTGTCTTTCCCATTGACTTGGCGAAAACTCGCCTGCAGAACCAGCAAAATGGCCAGCGGATGTACACCAGCATGTAAGTACCACCTTGCCCACACTGTGCTTTTCCACTAGTGTACAAACAACCCCGACATCCTGTACACTGAATTCCTTACAGTGACCAGGCAGGCTAGGATGGCTGTGCAAAACTGCAGCAATTCAAACCTGGTTGTGTAGCTCCCTTCCTGGAACAGAACTGTTCCCTGAAACATGTTGGGCTGCTGGTTTGGTGCTCCCATCTGGTTAATGAACAGCTCCTCCAATTAACATTTTCCCTTCTTAAATTTCTGGAAAGCAAGTGTTGTATGCAGGGGGTAGCCAGTAATTCAGAGCCCCGTGCATGAGACTCAGCAGTACTATGGAGGCTACAATGCTGCTGCTCCCCTCTTTGCTTGGACTTCGGCTGACAAAGTGCAAATGAAAATCACGTTGATTAGATTCCTTGCTGTCCACCTTTGAACTCCTGAGGTTTTATCTCTGTCTCCTTTGCAGGTCTGACTGCCTCATTAAGACAATCCGGTCGGAAGGTTACTTCGGCATGTACAGAGGTAAGAGCTGGAGGCAGAGCAGAAGGGCAGCATTTGACTCCTTCGTCCTAGCTTGAAATGCTGGGGTGACCTCAAGAGAAAGGAAAACACAGCCATTTTCCTCTCTTTATGGAGTCACGTATTAGGGGTGCCCTGAACTGGTTACAAACCTTGAAAAAGCCTGGCCCACACACCGAGGTCTTAATATGCAGAAACATGGGTATTACCAGGCTGCCCAGCCCCCTGTGGTGGGGCCAAACAACTTACTTTGTGTTAATAGAGAGTTGGATAAACTTGGCGGATGGGATTGCCTTGGTGCTGGGGAGGAAGACTCCGGAGCCTTCCAGATTATGTTCCTAAAGGTCACTATTCAGGGAATCTGCCGGTCACCTTCAGGGGTCAGGAAAGGAATTCTGGGTGTGTGGGGAGCATCCATCCATCATGGCCATGGGACTCTGGACAGGATGGGCCAGGATTCTCTCTCAGGCAGGCTGGTTCTTGCCCAAATGCTCAGGGTCTAATTGATAGCCAGAGGTGGGGTCCGGAAGGAATTTTCCTCCAGTTCAGATAGGAAGCACTTTTTTTTTTTTTTTTTTCAGCTTGGCAGGCAGGTACGCCCGGAGGATCCCAGGAAGTATCTCAATCAATTCCCTGCCATTCCATGTGACCTTGGACAGTGGTGCTCTTTGGCCGCTTCTGTTCTATGCCCATGGCACATACTAGCTTAGTCTCCTGGGCACTGTAATACTTGGCTCTAATTCTGGTTGTGGGGTGGCATGTGTGGGTGGCCTGTGATATACAGGTGCTCAGATGAGCTCATTGGTGGACCTGCCTGGCCTTAAGCTCTCTAATTGTAGTTCTAGCTGCAAGTATATGGTAATGCCTCAGAAATATTTGCAGTCATTAAAGTATCTGTTCACGGGTGCAGATAAAGAACACATACTCGGGTTACTCGATTAAATGAATACTTCATTAAATGAATCCTCGCTCCTTTTTTTTTTTTTTTTTTTAAGTGGGACTCCAGAGATCTTTGAGTTTTGCAGCTCCCAGCTGCACTCTAGCTTGGCAATTCTTTGTTAGGTTACCAGGGAAACAGGAGTATTGTGGTTTGATATAATGGGAACAGCGGATTGGCTGTTGAGAGGCGCCCTTGTCTGGCCCAGGTTGTGGATGGGAGGAGAAGGGGGCGGCGGGATGGATTCTGGTTGCAGATTGGCTGGCTGCGGTGGTGGCTTTAGGAGCCGTGCCAAGACAGGGTTAACCTAACAGAACCTTAGCAAATTTGATCTTAAAGAAACATTCCAAAGCCGGTAACATTCACATGGCCACTGCTCGCCGCACTCTAGGTGCCTAGTGGAGAGGTGGTGCTGTTGGAGAGGGGCTGCAGCACCCCTCTGTTACGGGTTGGCATAGGAGCAGTGTGGCCAGGAATGGGGCATGGTAGTGCAGGCAGGGGCTCACCTCAGTTAGGGAGCGATTCCTACCTGAGTGGAGGAGGGCAGAGTGTCAAATGGCTTTACCTTCCCCTGCATCCTCTTACAGGGGTTCAAACCCCAAACGCCCCACTAGCCGCCTCCTGCATGTGCAGAAGCAGCTGGCATGTTAGCTGGACTTCAGTTCCTCCCAAGCTGAGATATATCTGAGCCAGTGATCTAGGGGTGGAAGGCTCTGGATCTTCTTTTTACCAATCCCTAAATCAGGGGCGGGGAACCTTCTTTAGGTGGGGGCCACTCACCCTCAGAAAAATCAGTGGAGGGGCCACACAAGGGAGTTTAAAAAAAAAACACACACCCCTCACTGATGTGGTCCATGACTGAGGAGAAAGACACTCTCCACATTCCCCTCACACACCAGATCTTTGGATGGCCCAAGCTAGTAGATTTTGTGTGCTCCAGTCTGCGGGGAAACGCTGGGGGATGCTGGAGCACCAACACAGGCTCCCCAATGGTAAGGGGAGCCCCAAGCCTTGGGGGGTCACATTGGGCCCCCGGGCCTTTGGTTCCCCACCCCTGCCCTAAATCCTCTAACCTGCCACATCTGGCTGTGCTCAAAAGTCTAGTGTTTGCTGCTGGTATCTCTCCATCCCTGGCTGAGAGGGAGGCTTTTGTTGGGATGACAAGGAGCTCTGACATATGGCTTTGACTTTTAACAGCACTTCAGCTCTATGAACAGGACAAATAGTTCAGCAGTGTCAGGCTGCATACCTGCTGCAGTTCTTTCCTGTGTGACTTTGGGCAACTCGCCGAGGGATGCTCAAATGTGTTTACTCAGGTCAACGTGTAATCGCTGAATATTTCAGCAGTCACGTGTTTACATGCGGGGAGGGAGGGCATTTGTGGAGCTGCCCTTCCCCTCCCTTCCATCCTTCCCGTTGTGCTGCCTCTTATACAGAGGCAGCAGCATGGAGTATGAGGGGCTGCTTGTAACTGGGAATGTTAACCACTGAGTCCAGGCACATCAGTTAACCATTTACACTAGCACATCCATACTTACACCAAACATTTAGGTTGCCCTAACTACACCATTTCAGGGCTGTGAAACATTTCATGCTCTTTGTGACACAGGTCAGCTGGGCCCTGCTGTAGATGCAGCTGGCTTGACAGAAAATGCTTCCCTCTGCTACTGCTTCTAGGGATGTGAATGGCTAACTGGTTACCCGGTAAGCAGGTGATGTTTGCCATTAACCCAGAGCCCCGGGGTCTGGCTTTGGCCAGGCCCAACGTGATGCGGGATTGTTCTGCCAAGAATACCCCTCCGTACTTCCCTGGCGCTCACATTACCCACCAAAACTATTTCAGGCTGCTGAGGTCATGTCCAAAAAACGCTGTGTTAATGTATGCTATTTATGTTCTGAGTGGATATTTAGAGCCCACACTCAGCCCTCTCCTTTCCGAGGAAGAATGCAGCAAAGGTGCTGCTCTCCTCTGACTTCCCTCACTCCCCAACTCCCTGGTTCTGCACTACCAGGCTGGTCTGAGATTTTATTTTTTACCCTTCATTTTCCTTGCTCGTTCTCCACATGTCATGCTTCGTCCAAGATTTTCCCTCTTGTTGCATTCACACCGCATCTGCATGCAGCCGAATCTTAGATTTCCCAAAATATGAAGTCCTACAAGCAAGATCACTCCAGTATAACATGCCTACTCAAATAACGCTGCTAATATGAAAGCTGAGCAGGATTTACAGTCCTTTTGCTAAGTTCCATTTCTGTGTGATCCTAAAACATCAGGCATGTAACCACTGAGTCATGGTCATGTGGGCATTAAGAACGTTGTGGGAATCTCCACTGTTCAATGGTTGACAGTAGGGATGTAAAATCCCATTTTATTGGCTAATCGGTTAACATGTTTAACCGGTGAACTGATATTTAAGGGGTATGAGTGGCTGAAGCATCTCCCCTTGCTACAGGCAGGGGCTGCTCCAGCCAGGACAGAGCAGCCCCTGTCTGCTGGGACCCCCTCTCTCCCCGCCACAAAGACTGGAGCAGCCCGCTGCCCACAGTAGGCAAGGAGATGCTCCAGCCTCACCAGTTAACCTTAATCAGTAAGCCTCATCCATTAAGGGTGATGCTCACCAGTTAACCCTTCACCTTCCTAGTTTACCATATTAGCTTTTAACTCTGTCAGATAATGAGAGCTCAGAATGAAATCCTCATTGTTCAGATTACCATCATGCTTTATTTGTCACTTTTCTTGGAGTTTGATTTTTAATGCCCACGGTCTCTCTCTTAGCTCTGGAAGCCACTGTTTTGTAATATTTTTATCCTGTGACCTGAGAGGATTACATATTCTTAGGACTGATACAGCATGTAACTACTGAGTCATTTTTTTCAGGATCAGTATATTTCTAAGCATTGATTCTCTGGATCAGAGATTATTAAAAAAAAACAAACCTACAAACATAGAGGAAATTTGACCCTTGCATCACTTTGCAGGTTGCTGCCAGGATACAGATTTTATGTTCGAATATATTTTATTACAAGGCCTGGAGGAAAATGGAAGACCCACATAAAAAATTTATTAGAACTACAAAAGGGTCAGGTAGTTACTCTTGATCACCTCTTGAAGCTTGTGGGATTTCCCACCTTTTCAAAAACTTTTTCTGGTTAGCAGTTTATCCTCCCTCCTAGTCTTTGCTGTCAAGTTGTTCCACACTACACCATGAACTAATCTCAAGAGTATCTTTTCTAAATGCCTGTCTATGTACCATTGCATGAATGTATTGGCAGGGATATGGGTTGTTCATAACACTGTGTGGCTTGGTAAGAACGGGTTTGCAAGCAGAACTGGTCACACAGACTTGGATTTACAATGCAGTGCAGGCATGCTTTTAGAGATCCTGGGGCTTCATTTATAGTCCACAGAGAGCTCCTACAAGTCAACTTATGTCAGAAAATGCATAAACTGAAACATCTAATATTCAGGATGTGCAAAATATTTTTTGGGGGGGAGGTGGCACATTTGGGTATTCTAAAGCTTGCTGCAGCCCTCAATTTTTGTCCTCCTGTGGTGATTCCGGAGCTCTTGTGGATTACTGAAGACTGGGATTATGCTCTGTTAAGCAGCTTTGCTGAAAATGTCAAAGGTTTAGCAGAAATCCTAGGTCTATTAATTTTTACATGTAAGTGGCCCACAGAGGGTTTTCTTCTTCCAATCTCAAATAAATTGGGAGATAATATTGATCTGAAAGCTGCCTCATTAGTTTGATGGCTTCCACGTTTCAGTGCTTTCCCATTTCCCACCTTCAATGGCTAGATTTTTTTTCTTTCTGAAGAAGCTGCACAGATACTAAATTGGGAGATGAATATTTGTTTCCTTTTACCTAGGCAAGGTGATTTAGTGCTATAGGATGGGAGGGGGTGAGGTGTGGTTTTTTTGGGGTTTTTTTTTGTTTTTTTTCAGGTGAGAATCTCAGCCTTTGTGTGTGTGGTTGGCTTGGTTTAATTATCCAGCTCTTACATTTGGGGACTTGAATAAGAACTTTCCTAGGTGCACGTGTCTTGTCTAATTACTCTGGTGAGCGCCATTAATGAAATCCAAGAGGAAAAAGTGCCAGTGGTAGGTAGGGGTGTTAAATTGCAGCTATCTGACTAATCATGTAGTCTCTACAGTTGGTATTGATGACACAATAAGGGCTGCTCTGCAGGAGCTGGCTGGAGCCAGCACTGAGTAGTCCCGGCTTGTGCTGGCTCTGGATGCCACCGGTTCTGTGCTTCTGCATTTTAAATGTCGTAAGAGCCCAGCAGCTCCTGCTACATTTGAAATGCAGAGGTGTAGTGTCCTGGCCCAGCGCAAGCGAACAGGGGCTGCTTGGTTGCAGCAGCCTCTGTCCATGCAGGGGCTCAGCTCCCCACTGGAACCTCCATGGACAGGAGCTGCTGCCAGAGCAGCCTCTGCCAGCAGTGAGCCTCAGCCTGCCATGGCTGTTTTGCAGCAGCCTCCCCTGTTCCCTCTCCCCCACTGCCTCTGGTAGAGGTAGCGGGTGGGGGGAAGGCAGCAATGGCGCTGGGGGGGAACCAGCTTTTAAGCCAGCTCCCCCCCAGCACCAGCTCTTGTTCCCCCTCCCCACATCGAGGGAGGGACGGGAGCAAGTATTTGATACTCCAAGTGACTACTCGCCAATATCCCTAGTGGTAGGGGTCAGGGGTGTGTTGCCGCTGGGTTGAGTCTGTGATTTGAGAACACGCTCACCCTTGGTTTTAGGAAGTCTTTGTAAACGGAACTAAAACCAATGTCTGGCCTCACTAGGAGGTCACGAGTCCTTGAGAGAGAGACCCAACACATTATCTATTGAACGCAATGCTTGTAAAGTTGCTGCCATTTGTGAGATGAAGAGACTGGTCTATCTGCCTCTTACCAGGGAGGTGGACAAGGATTTGTCAGTGAGCATAGACACATGGTAGGACCAGGCTTGTGAGGTGCTCTCAGAAGCTATCTGGCAGGGCCCAGTAAAGGCTTTCTGCTTACAGGGTTATTTTTCCTCAGTGTGGAGAGAATTGTTGTCTGAGCACAGGACACAGTCTCTCATCTGACACTGATTCACTCTCTGGCCTTGAGCAAGTCCTTTGGGGCCTCTGTTTTCCAAAAGTGCCTGCTGATTTTGGGGGTTCTGCAATGTGGCTTTTGGGTGCCCATCCTGAGAAACACAGGACCACTTTTTTTAAGAGGTGCTCGGCACTTGCAGCTCTTATTGACTCTGATTTGAATGGTGCTCACTGCCTATGAAAAGGAGGCATACCCGGTCAGGCTTCCAAGATCAGTGGACCCTTTTGAAAATATAGGTCTTAACCTTGCTGTGCCCAGGCACCCGCCTCCCTAAATTGGGGATCATCCTTCTGTGACAGGATGTGGTCACAGACGATTCCTTGGGGCTGTTTCCTGGTGTTCTGATTATGCTACTGACCTTCACCTTCTTTCTGTCTGGGCCTCCCCACCACTCTGTGCTGCTGGGCCAGATCCTCTGGTCTCCCCCCAGACGAGGCACGGAGTTGGGGTAACCGTGCCCCTGAAGAGTAATGCGACACTGAACCACTTCAGCTCTGGGAGAATGCAGTACAGCATCCAGGAAAAAGGATCAAAACCCCAAATAAATCCATCTTTCTCTGAGTAAAAGTTTTACACAGAGAAAGCTCATGAGGATGTTCGCCTCTCTATCAGTGAGAGAATATACACACTGACCATGCTGCCCAAGTAACAGTTATTTACACTGGACCTGATAGTAAACACAAGCGTTGTTATGAGGACAAGCTGTAGGATTTAAGTGGTTGCGAATGAAAACAAATAAATCAATGTTTTTACAAAATGAAAAGAAAAAACAGAGCTAGTTCAGATACAGTGAAGCATATTGCAAACTTACCCTAAAACCTGTTATTTCAGGCATGCCTTCAAGTCAAAGATCTTATTCTCTGACTTGGGTGGGTCATGCCAGCTAATAACAAAAGGACTAATAGCTTCCCATTGTTTTTTATATAGGCTTTCCCTAGGCAGGAATTTTTTGTTCTGCATCTCCTCTCTTCCATGGAAAATTCCCTGGTCAAACTGGTATCCCACCACCAGCTGACGTGGTCACGTGTCTTCCCAGAACCAATCACTGCTTAGACTTAGAGGACAAACAAGGCTGTCTGCCAGTCCTTAAGTTGATCACCCAGTCGTTAAGGCTTCCTGGAGCACCGTTGATGGCTCTCATTTGCACCTTTAAAACCATGAGTGATCCCATACTTCATATTTCTAACTTTTACATGTAAAAAAGAGACATGCACCAAAATAAAAAATCTACTTTTTTGGGTGGGAGGGTGGAATCGTCACACGTTCCTCACAGGGATGTGATAGGGCTTCCTTGTGTAAAAATGCTTTGCGGATGAAAGACTTTTCTGAAATGTTGTGGGTGCCAGTGCCGGATAGCTTAAACCTGGTGCTCTCTCTTGAGGGTGGCTTAAGGATGGAGCCTGCCCTGGTGCAGGATGGGTGCAGGCAACGTGACCCTTGGTGGGGGCGGGGAGGGGAATCCCTCATGACACACAGGTCTCTAGGAGGTTCAGTGCTCTGAAGCAACAAACCAAACATGACAACGTTTTCCTCAGGCCAGGGAGCAGCAGCTGTTGTATTTTCTCAGGGTGACTTAAACACTTGCAGGGAGAGGGGGAAAAGTTGTTTCACTAATACAGGTCTCCATAGCTGTTGCTCTGAGGGCAGAGCTGGCCAGGGCCATTCATTGTGGCAGCCGCAATATAGGTATTTCCCATGTGGATAATCTGGATAATCGAGTAGTTAAAAGTCCAGTGGGTGTGCAGCACTGTTTATACACCTGCATAGAGGGTGGCAGGCCTCTTGTTCCGACTGGAACTGAGCCGGGGGCACTGATGTGATGTATTACTGATTGGAGCAAAGTAAGGTTTGAAGCGGCCACGTTGGGAGGCTGCTGGAAGGATGACGCTGATGATGATAAAATAGCAGTGCAATCGCCAGGCCAAGGGCCTGATCCAAAGCCACCAGAGTCTGTGGAGAGGCTCCTAATGCCATATCTACACTACTTGACAGATCGACACTTCTGCGGTTGATCTTCCGGAGTTCGGTTTAGCAGGTCTAGTGAAGACCTGCTAACTCAAACTCAGAGGGCGCCTTTGTTGGCCGGTGCTCCTGCTCCTGAGGAGCAGTAAGGGAAGCCAACTGGAGCGCTTACTCCCATCGACCTCCCGCTATGTGGACGGTGATTTAAGATAGGTCGACTCCAGCTCCGTAAGTAATGTAGCTGGATTTGGTATCTTCAATCGACCTTCCCCTTTAGTAGAGACATATTCCCATTGACTTCAACGGGCTTTGGATCTGGCCCTGAGCCTTTCAGAGCCTCTGGTCTGTGTGTTACCTGAGTTACAGGCAAATTAAGTGTGTCAGTCTTGTTGGGAGGGTGTTGATGCTTCCCAGATGGGAAACAGAATTAATAGGCTATCTGCGGGACTTGTCCTTCCTCTTTGAGGGCCTGATCCAAAGCCTGTGGGAATCAATGCGGCCTTTCCTTTGACTTCAGTGGCATTTGAATTTGTGTGCGAGAGAGGTGGGCTGCACTAATGCAATTGGAATTCTAAAAAGCTTCTGTACTGTGGAACTGAGAAGCTTCAGGGGAAGTTTTCAAAAGAGCCCAATGAGTTCAGATGCTAAAATCCCATTCACTAGAGTTTTTTCTAAATCCCTTGGGCATTTTTTAAACCTTCCTCCCTTTTGTTGTTCTGCTTTTGGCTTAAATGCCACTAACGCTTATCTACTACGCTCCTGAATGTGTCCAGATAATCAGATTTTCCTGTTGTTGCTACAGTGTTTCCTTCCTCTTGTTTCTTTCCCAGGGGCGGCGGTGAACCTGACTCTAGTGACGCCAGAAAAGGCCATCAAGCTTGCGGCCAATGACTTCTTCCGGTATCATCTTTCCAAAGATGGGTGAGTGGGTGGCTTTCAGTGGTGGGCTGGCTTTCTGCTAGGTCATGGCTTGCTGGTATTGGTTCAGTTAGCACTAGCGTGCAAGCCAAAAACGCTGCATATAGAACTGAAAGCAAAAATACCTCTCTTAAGGGGGGTGTGTGTGGTTTTTGTTTTGAGGATTCCAAAAATAGTCCCAGATCTCAGTCAGGATTTAGGTAGCCAGAATGTCCACAGAAAGCATCTACATCGGCTACTGGTTACAACACAGCTCGGATGGTCCGTCCTTCTCAACCTTCTATTGGATACTTGTCTGCTCCACCCACTCTTGTGATGACTGGCTGGCCCCAGAACCCCATCTTGTGGGGTTTGAGCTGTTTGGAGCTACTTGGCAGTTGGGGAGTGGGAATGAACTTTGATTCTCTGATCGCTGGCATTTGTTACTTCACCTGCATGTAAAGGTCACGAGTCAGCAAAACAGGAATCGCTTTAATGTTTGTTCGTGTGAATTCAGTGTCAGTGAAGGGTGCCAAATTGATAGCCATGGAGTCTGAAGCCCTGTATCCACTCAGTAGGCACAGCTTGTTCTGCCAAGGTATCTGCTCTAATCCAGGGGACAGTTCAGGGTCGATGGCCCGTTCAGCCCTTGACCTCTCTGACCATGCTGATAAGGGAACCATTTATAGTAGGAGTTTCTATGGTATAGATGCCCATCCCCTGGGAATTAGAGACCTGTTTCACATGAGCCAGTACATGAATTGTCATGTATCAGGTTACAGCTCTTGATCACTAGCTATCTGACCTAGGATTTGCACTAGGTACCCATAGAGGGCATCGCCGCAGTGTCCATTCCGCAATAAAGTCGTTGACGCTTGTAGAAACTGAAGTGTTGTAAGTCATTCCATTCCCCGCTCTTTAAGTCGTACAACCCCTCCCCCCCCACACTTTGCATAAATAGAAGTCAGCTATGGGGGAAAAAATTGTTACATTCCAAAAAACTTGGACTTATAATGAATCTTGGACTTACAGCAAGGAAGGCCTGTAGCTGAAAAGCTCTATTTCCTGGTACCAATTATTTGATTCATCAGCTCCACCTAATGTACAGGGGCCTGATCAAGTGTAATCATTGACTGCAATGGAGCCATGCTGATTTACCCCTGAAGAGGACCTGGTCCATTATGCTTTTTATATATGTGACCTCTTTAGTTATCCTGGGATCCTTAAATCCCAAATTAATGTTTATATATGAGGATCCTTATGAATCACCAACCATTAGTTCTGTAATTACTCATCATGGATGTGATGGGTCCCCTCCCTCCTCAGAGCGCTACCTGATGTACTGTGTTCCCACTGACCATTCCCATTCCATAAGCCTGAGCTCCCTCAGCTTGTCCTTGCTATACCAGGTCCTCAGGCCTCCTCCAGCACACACACAGGTAGGGCCAGACCCTGCTGCAAAAGGTCACAGATTCTGAGATGAGGTCTGTGTGGGAAGACTCTGCTCAGGAATTACCCAGCCCTCTGGTGCCTACCCCCTTATAGTGTAAACCCCAAACTGTTGACTTGTACTGCGCAGAAATCTCTACAGCATAAGCTCATAAAAATCGCCCCTCTCTCAATGAAGAAGATAAGCACAGCTTTTCATCCCCCAGTTATGAGTTACAGTTTACAGAAAATGAAAACAAGTTTATTAAACCTAAAGAATGGATTTTAAGGGATTATAAGTAATAGCTAACTGATCAAAGTAGATTATTGAGCAAGTAAACACACACACACACACACTCTAATCTTAATAGACTAAAGAAGCTGGCTACAGATATTAATTTCTCACACTAAATTTTGTCTTAAGCAGATAGCAGAGATTCTTGAAGACAAACTTCTTTTGCTTGCAGCTTCGAATCCCAGATATTCCTTTCACAGGCTAGTTACTTTCTAGCCTGAGTCCAGTTCTTTCCCCAGTTCAGTCTTAGGTGCTTCCAGCAGTCACATGGGTGAAGATTCAGTGAAGAGCTGACCCAGATTAACACAATCCCTACCCTTGAATAGGATTTACATAGGGAAGGAATCCTTTGTTTTCCAGTGACTCTCATTCCTTTTAGTGGAAAAACACTAGAAGCCCAAGATGGTGTCCAGTAGAGGGTGACACGATCACCTGACCCTGTAATATCAAAGCAGCATCCAAGGAATCTCCTCAGAAACCAAAAATGGGGACACATCCGACAAAGGATTTTTTTATGATCTCTGAGTGTATTTATTTGAAAAGTCTTACAAAAGTATAAAAATTAAATCACAGGGCAGTGAGTGAGTGGGCTGCAGGTGTGGGGTCTTGGCAGAGGCAGTGAGTGAGTAGGTTGGGGGTGCGGGGTCTGGGCATGAGGGGAGGGGGACCATTTATTTGCTTTCGCATGGCTTCCAACACCATGCCCCAGGCCTGGCCTCCACTGCTCCTATGGGCTGGATTCCGGAGCAGCAGGAAAAGCCTCCAGGACGTGCATCCCTGCTCTACTGTTCCCCCAGTCGGGAGAATTGGGAGAGGGAGAGGCAGCGTGCACAGCTGTTTCTTGCTGCGTTTCTTCCCCACAAGCCAGATCCGAGGGAGAAAGCCCCAAGGCTCCCCATCTGCCCCCACTGAAATATTTACCGAAATTTTGGAATTTCTGGGACATTTCTATGGTTTATGGGGACAATGGGACAGAGGATTTGAAATCGGGACTGTCCCGGAAAATCCAGGATGTATGGTTGGGCATAGCCTTGGAGTATCATTTCAACCAGGTGATCCAGAGAGGTGAGCCTAGCACAGGAATAGCTTCCTCTGACAGCCCTACTTCTCAATGCACCTAGTATCCCGGCAGATCAGTGTTTAGCTCTGATTCATTCAGCATATGGAGGACTAGATCCACCCTGCTGCTTCTGAATGCGCTTTGTGGTGGGGACTGGCACTGCGTTAATTTGGAAAAGTTCCGTTTCTGCAATTACTTGCTAGCTTCCATATTCCAACCCAAACAGTCTTGGAGCCCTCCTTGGAGAGAGGGAAATAGTTGGTGCAGTGACTTACCTAGCTGCTAGTAGCTTGGGTGGAGACTGATCTAGGTACGATGAGAACCCAATTGCTATGAATGGGCTTGCACATATGCCCACCAGGGTGGCGTTCTAGCAGGCTCTGCTGCAGGGAGGCTCAGGACTAGGATAGCCAGCAGGGATAGAACATTGGACTCTGTTAAGCTAGACGTACCCTATTTGGAAATAGCACGTCTACACTACAGGGAAGCCTCAAAATTAGTCCAATGCAGGCCCCCTAATGTGGATGCGCTACCTCAGTTTTAGAGCCTCAGAAGGCAAACGCATGGCTTGTTTCGAAATCTGTAAACTTCATCACACAAGGAATAACGCTTATTCCGAAATAGCTATTTCGGAATAAGCGTTATTCCTTGTGTGATGAAGTTTACAGATTTCGAAACAAGCCATGCGTTAGTACAAAATTATTTTGAAATAATGGAATTGCTGTGTAGATGCTCGCATTGTTATTTTGAAATAACTGCAGTGCAGATACACCCTTATAGAGCAGGCTGGGGAAGGCCTTACTTGCTCCAAGCATGTGTTGAGCAGTAGCCAGCGCTACCAGCCCCTCCATCTCTGTTGCGCATCATTGCAAAGCTATCACTTCAGAAACACGCTCTAAACTAAAGTGATGGACAGCAACCTTGCCCCAGTGCCATGGGGCACTGTAGTCTTCAATCACACTAGGGGACGCCAGGGCTGTTGCTAGGAGGGGGCTCTCAGATACTGCCAAGCATGGGCAGACGGTAATGAAGGCAAGGGAAGGCACAGCCTTCCCAAAATTGCCTATGTTCCCTGGCTAGCCGGGCAGGCTGAGTTGGGGCCAGGGCCGCAGCACAGCAGCCCCTGGCCCTCCAGGTGGCCAAAAAGATTCAGGCAGAGGGTGGGTGGGTCTTGGGTGTGTCTTGGCTCCAGAGACAGGCCTTGGGCGGAAGGGGTGGGGCTGGGGCTTGCCTTGCTCTTCACCCATGCCGCTAGGAATGAATAAAGTATGGAAGATGTCCTTCAGTCCTACTCTGTTTTCCAGTTAAAGGTGCCTAGACCAGCAAACACAGAGGCTGAGCTGTCTGGCTGAGTGTGGGCACCTTGCCTCTCCCTCCCCTGCCTCTTTCCACTTCCCTTGCAGAGCTGGGGAAAGGTGCCCTGTGTGGTGTTTGCTGCTGGCCAAGTGACTTCACAGCCCACTCTGGTTCTCAGCCAAAGGGACAGCTTAGACAGCAAATGGGCTGTTCCTGGGAACCAGAGCAGGTCCTGCCTGCATGAGAGACATGAATGGTCCCTGCTCAGTTCTCACTGCCTGTCCCCGGATGAACTTTGAAGCTCTTTGGGATTTGAACTGTGGTTTTTCATTCCCCACTGACCTTGTGGATTAAGGGAGCTGTTTGTCTGACATGCTGTCCTGGGATCCCCCTTGGAGGGGGAGGGGAAGGGCAGATGGTGGCTCAGCCTTCAGCAGCGGGTGGATGCCAGCGGGAGCTGCAAGCGAATCAGGGCCCTGGAAGAAATGCAGCAAGGAGTCTGCTTTGGAGCAGCGTGTTTCTGGTCAACCGGAGCACTTTGGGAGGAGAGTCCTGGGTTGCAAGCAGGAAGTGTGAGCTGATGCCAGATGTAATGGGGATTTGGGTAGCTCACCAGTGTCCCTAGAGAGATGGGAACATCTCTCCTCTGTAGAAAGGAGCACAGATGCCAACTTCACATTTTGCCAGGGCTTGCTTGAACCCACGCCGCCACTCCAGGCTCTGCCCCCAAACCTCTGCATCATCCCTTCTCCACCTCTTCCCTTGAACCTGCCTCGGCTCTGCACCTCCCTCTTCCTACCAGAGCCGGGGTGCACCGTAAGAGCTGAGAGGGCAGGGGAGGAGTACGTAAGCATGGGGCTGCACCCATGAAGTCTGCACCTATGAGAAGGAAGTTCCTCTAGACTGTCCCTTCGTGAATATTGATAATCCCATATCCCAAGCTGG